TCATCCCCTCTCTCTCTCTCTCTAACCCCTTCCTGTCACTCCACAGCTGGCATTATTGATTAAAAGCAATAAATAAATATTTGAATAAAATCACTGTTATTTCCTCACATTCTGTTAAAATTTAAACAAAAATTCTTACATGGAGCTTAAACATCCATTAAAGCTTCTGTTCCACTAAAGAGACAAAAGAGAGACAGGTCTGATGAGAAGACCTTCCTCAAATTATCACGTTAAATAAACAAATATTTCCATCATATCTTCTACATTGTTTTTATTCTTTTGAGACTCAGTGTGTCCAAATCCTAATATTGAGATAAGTGGATAGCAATGTGCATTAATTCACATTTTCTTTCAATTTACATTTGTGCTAAATGGATGAAAATTAAACAACTGAGAGCCATTTAAAAAAAAAAAAGGATAGTAAATAAAAAAGCTACACAGCTGAATAAACAGGGTGAATTGAATGTTGGGCAGAGCATGGGACAAAGCCAGTCATACAGGCTGACAGAGGCACCTGAGGCTACATAAAAAGAAAGAGACACCATCGGTAGACAATGGAGAGCGGCAGAGCTCTCAGCTAGCTCTCTGTGACCCCATTACTACAGTGGGATGATGTGGGTGAGAACATGCCTGAGTGTGTGTGTGTGTGTGTGTGTGTGTGTGTGTGCGGAAATATTTGGGTCTGTTGTGTAAGGTCAGACAGCTCTGCACTGCGCAACTAGTTACACAATGTGTTCATAACTGCAGTCACTCAACACATCAGCAGTTACGCGTTCCCCAATCCGTTCAAAACCACAACAGCAAAGAATCTCTTCTGCATCTTTTAATCCAGGGAAAAAGGCCGCGCTGCCAACTCTTTTTTCACAGGAGGTTTTATGTTATTGATTCATAGGCGTCCTGTAACAGTAAACCCTCTGTGTACAGACACAAACATGTGTGCCCCTTGGTACTCATTCCTGCACATGACAAGCCGGCTGTGTGTAAATACACTGCTGTCACTGCTGGCCTCTCTGTCTCGGTCAAACAGGGGAATGTAGGGGAATCCCATCATGTCACAGCTCCCCCATTGTTTTATTCCCCATCTGCTGTAGGCATCGAGCTTCCCCTCCCTCCCTCCCTCCCTCCCTCCCTCCCTCTCAGGTGAGGCAGGTAACCAGGAGATGACAGCTCAGGTGACAAGCCCTGGAGGAAAGACGGAGGACGCGGAGATCATCAAAGGAGAGGACAGCGCCTACAGCGTCCGCTTCATCCCTCAGGAAATGGGAGCTCACACCGTTAATGTTAAATACCGGGGCCAACACGTCCCCGGGAGCCCCTTCCAGTTCACCGTGGGGCCCCTGGGAGAGGGAGGGGCCCACAAGGTCCGAGCAGGGGGAACTGGGCTGGACCGAGGAGTGGCAGGGATCCCAGGTACGATTTCTTCTTTTGTCTTCCTCATCTCTTTTCTTCTTTGTTCTTGCTGCCTCGTCCTCTTCTTTCCCTTCGTCATAGTAGACACATTTATATAACTGACATTCACACTGTTTCTTTCCTTCACTCACATATCTCTCTTTTCTTTAATGATACACTCCCTGATTTTATTATTAGTATTATTATTATATTATTATTATTATTAAGTGCCAGAGGCGCCACCCCCCCCCAAATTCCAGATTTTCCGTGCAGTTTAGTATTTATGAGGTGAAACGGTTGTAAAAAAAAGTTAAAATTGAGTTGTCCACATGTTGTAAGGTGGGTTTGTTGTTTTTCAGCTGAGTTCAGTATCTGGACCAGAGAGGCCGGAGCTGGAGGTCTGTCCATTGCTGTGGAGGGACCGAGCAAAGCTGAGATCACCTTTGAAGACAGGAAGGACGGATCCTGTGGAGTCGCCTACGTGGTTCAGGAACCTGGTGAGACTCTAAGAGCAGAATTAAGTTGACAACAATGGTTTTTTCACTTAATTCTGAGTCCTGTACTTAATATTTGTATTTATTGCCTGCGTGTTCGTTGATATGCAGATGACAGTCAGCTCTATATGGCTGTTGATCCTGTTGGTTTGAGCCCCCTGAAATGTGCATTTTCTGATTACCTGGTTCATATTTTAGTAGTTTTGAATTGCGTGCACAATGCCACCACACAGGCATTCAGAGTGGTTTTAAACAACTCTAGAGTCATATATTATATGCAGGAACTGCGTTGCAGAGCTGCTCCTTGTCAGAGGGACCAATGTATCAGAGGATTATTGCAACACAGACCTTTTCTCTTGTAACATAGGAAGTCTCTTACTGAGATAGAGATCATAATCATCACATCAATATCAGAAATGTGCAATGACTAATTGTCTATTAGCATTATCGTATGACTCCTAGTCAACTACGAAAATCTTTAGATGAGGACAGTCCTATTACAAGGAATTAATTAAAGCAAATGCTAGTAAAAACAGATAAAATCAAATGTGAAAAGTAGACGAAAACATAAAATCTAATCTGATCTGAGGTGACACATAAGTAACAAATTAGTGTTGAAGCACGGCCATTTGATGCCTTTAAGTCAGCAGTGAAGAATAAAATACATAAAAGCATTCACAGCTTTGTATGAATCTTAAAGAGACAAAAATGATTGAATTTGAACACGAGAGCAACAAGATTTTGAGTCTTCTTTTTGTCAGACAAAAATGTAGATCCAATAAGTATTATATCAGATTTATCCTCATTCATTTTGAGAGAAACTGACAGACTTGGCATTTGATGTCATTGAGACAGACTGCAGACCGCAAAATGTGTTAGATTGTTGTTGAAAACAATAGCGGGTCCAGTGAGGACCCCTGGGGAACACCACTGAACTCCAGAGGAACAGAAAATGTCTGTTAGAGTAGCAATGATATAAAAAGCCACAATATTCTTGGTTTGCTGTTATCACTTGTCTCCAGGCGACTATGAGGTTTCCATTAAGTTCAACGATGAACACATCCCCGACTCTCCGTTCATCGTCCCCATCGCCACGCTGTCTGACGACGCTCGCCGCCTCACCATCACCAGCCTGCAGGTGAGAACACATCATCTTCATCACGTCAGATAAAACAGTCTCTACCATGCCATCTCAGGTCACTAACATACAGTATAAGAGTCTCTATGTTAACCTGATGTGTCATCTGCTATATTAAAGGTGACATTTGGATTCACTGTGAATAGATTTATTATTAGTGTCTGACGGCTGCTGAGAGAGTATTTCTGTCTTCATACGTGTATAAATGTATCTTCTTGTTTTAACTATAGCTCTGTAAATTTGACCTTTGAAGCTTAACTTCTTATCACCTCATGCAGCATGTTCACATTAATGCAGTCATCAGCAACATTTGTGTCCCTGCCTCCAAGTGACAACACGACCAAAAAATAGCAATTTGATGAAAGATCTTAATTCAGAATGAAAGACAGTAATGTTAGCTTTGATTAACCATTGATCAAGTGCCTATTTAAGACCAATGCAGTTTCAACAACAGAAATACAAAGATATGTTTATTTATAAGAGAACACATGCAGGGTCAGAGGAGGCAGAACAGAGTTTTAACCTGCTGAGACCACAAGAAGGCACCAAAACTGCCATCAGTCACTCATCAGACATCCATTCAAACACTCAGGACAAGATGGTGGCGCTAATGAACAATTTTAAGCATTTCAGTGTAAGCAGCGAAATTTTAAAAAGTTGATAAGAAAACACAAAACATAATAATGGATTAAAAAATAATCCACTGGTGAGATAAAAACAAACAAACCCAAATGAGCGTATGAAGGAATCTCACCCAGAAAATTTGCAAAACAATGAGAAACTAAAATTACATTTTTATCAAAACAAGAAAGCAAAAACTATAGAATATTTCTGATGAACATTAGTTAAACAAAGATAATAAAACAGAATAATGTCTATAAATATATGTACTGACAAAAACATATTAAAATACATATTAGACTGATGCTGCTAATAGACTTGGCATACAGATAATAGTAAAAGACACTAAAAGAGTTTGGCATTGAATAAGCATGTAAGCATGTATTTAAATTTACTTAATCAGTAAATCGCAAATAAATCTTGTAGATAAAACTTTCTTTTCAATGAAAAGGTAAAACATTTATTTATAATAAGTTATTTTACATGTTTGTGTTTGTTTGGTCTTAATTTAAATCTCTCATTTTCTTTATCTGTTCTTCATTAGGAGATGGGTCTGAAAGTTGGCCAGGAGGCCTCCTTTGCTGTACAGCTGAACGGAGCCAGAGGGCTGATCGATGCTAAGATCCACACGCCATCAGGAGCAATAGAGGAGTGTTACATCACTGAGCTGGACAGCGGTAAAACCAATGCTTTAACGTTGCCTTGTGAAAGGATTTTATATAAAAACACAGCAGTATTAAACTGGGTTTGTAAAAAGAAATGAGTGTTAACATTTCACATAGTACCACAGTACCACAAGGCTTGAATTTGGGTCCACTACCTTTCCATTCCCCACTTTAAGTCAATATTATATGTGGGGTTAAACCTTACCTGTGTTAGGATTTTATGTAAAAACAAGTCCTCCTAGGATTTTGTGGGCTTTTTTATGTTTTTAGTAATATTAAATATAAAGTACCACAAGGTTAAATTCTGGGTCCACAATAGTTTTTTTTTTATATATGTCACCTCTACGTTAATAATTAATAATGTGCATCTATATGCAGATGACACCCAACTCTATGTAGCTTTTGATTGCGGTGATTCAAGCCGTCTTTACTGCTGTGAAAATTAAAAGTTTGACATCTACAGGTAAAACAGAATTTCCCTCAACTAAATTGGACAAAATAGAGATCCTAAGTATTGAAGAGAGTCATTATGTCTAGAGTTAACTTCTAGTGCAACAACTCTTTCAAGACACTACACTGCAACAATAAATTCAGCCTTTGCAGAGGCGACTCATAGACCATCAGAACCCTTGATGAGTGTCATTTGTCATCCACGTTTCTACAGACCAACATGCTATCAGATTCATCCCGAGGGAAAATGGAGTTCATTCTATCGATGTTCGTTTCAATGGCAGCCACGTCCCTGGAAGTCCCTTCAAGATCCGAGTGGGAGAACCGGGACAGGTTGGAGATCCTGACATGGTGTCTGCCTTTGGACCAGGACTGGAGGGAGGAACCACTGGTATACATTAATATAAACACCTTAAAACACCTTACTTTTAATTCCTCGATGAAAACATAAAGTAGATATTAATGGGTGTTCGTCATGTGCGTGTCCTCCTTCAGGCGTGCCATCCGAGTTTATTGTGAACACGTGTAACGCCGGCTCAGGAGCTCTGTCTGTGACCATCGACGGACCGTCAAAGGTGAAGATGGACTGTCAGGACTGTCCTGAGGGCTACAAGGTTTCTTACACACCAATGGCTCCTGGAAACTACCTAATCTCCATCAAGTACGGTGGATCCCAGCACATCGTAGGCAGCCCCTTCAAGGCCAAAGTCTCAGGTGGGTTTTTTGAGTATTGTGGTCAGTGCTTGAATTGAACCGGTACTCAACCGGTTACACCAAACCGAGATGATCAAGTATGGTTCACCACTCCAGACAACCCATTTTCTACCTGCAGAGTACAATGGCAAATGCTAAAGTTGCTTCATGACACAGTTTGGAAATGGGTAATAACGGTTGCCACAGAGGACAAAAATGTTTTATGTTTTATGAACCTCAGCGTTCAGCGTCGTTGCTCCCCTACACTTCCACTTAACAATGACAGTTCAGTTTACTGGGGAAGATCTGGAAGGAAAAGGAAATAACAACAAGCTGACAGTTGGAAGATTGGCATCCTATGATAGTGCCACATCAAAAGTCACACCACTTCAGTACCCATTCTAGATGTGTATATATATATATACAGTGGGTAC